AACTCGGATTCTTCGACTTCGGGATGAAGTATGAAGCTTCCAGAAGCGTCTAATGGGATTGGTAGCGACGATCAGAATTGTCACGGGTTTTCTTCCTGCATTGGGTTACTTGGCCCACAAGGAACCTCTCCATCAGATTTGGTACGAATTATGGGGATGAAACTTCTCCAGTGGGTTTGTCTTGTGCACATGTAAAGAGCTTGGTGGATTGGGCTCTATTGAACCTCGTTAGATATCTAAATCCCTTCTTGATCTTCTTGTAACTTCTCCTTTGATCCTCCTTGATCCAATATGTGATATAATCCTAGATTGCATTTTACCTTGAAAAGCACAAAACAATACAAAAAAGACATACAAAGATACTAAAATACAACCTAGGTCTCACTAAACTCATTGACAAATAGTTATGAAATCCATGTATATAAAAATATACTAAAGATGTATTGATAGAAGGGGAAATGTATCAAATATGAGAGGTGATAAACACTACAATTTGAGTGTCATTAGAATACCCCACACTTGAACTTTTGTTGTTCTCAAGCAAACACTATCCACAATCATAGAACTCCATGAACATAGAAAATCTAACATGATCTCAATTTTAGGTAGTGGATCATAAGTAAACTTACAAGGTCAATAATAGCATGAAAGAGCTCTAACCATATCAACATGTATGCATAATATGAAACTTACTAGAGCATTAGGCCCTTATTAGTTGAGAAAGAGCCATTTATGTATCTATGCATTCGTCAGAATACTTCTTTTAACTTGTATACCTCAATTCCCGTGGAGGGCCAAAGAATCAAGCGGTGTCAGCAACTTTATCTGTACCCTAAAACACATCCTCAAATTCGCTATCTGTTCGATATGAGTGGAAATTTTACTTATACTAGAGAGAAATTGACATCTAACGGGGAATCAAAACTCACTGGTATATTTTCCAAAACTCATTTTTGTGCAATCAATAAATCCCCTCACATGTTGGCTTACCCCAAATTTGTTTCATAACATGGCAAACACAAATTATACTTTCATGTATAGATTTGGTAGTTTTTGCATTTGATAGAAAGTATAGTTTCTCCCTATGACAAAAAAACTTTGAAAATGTGAGACTCAATGCCTAATTAGCAATTTACAACGAATCAAATAGCATGGCATTCAAAACATATTAACAAGATAATTGTATCTCATTACTATCACATTCTTCATAGTCACTAAACTGACCTACCTAGATCAAGTGAAGTCCTTAGATTCATCGATTCAAAGTAAGATAAACACTGATAAGCTTGTGGGGGATAACTAAACAAGTCAATAGATGGAAAATGCATTTTTAGACACTGAAAAGTTTCACATAAATCATAACTGTTATATATTGGATAGGATTTAAAGCGACTGAACATATAGATGGCAGGAAAAAAGCAATTCTCCTTCATTGTTTAGGACGCTTCTAAATTGAAAATATAAAAGAGAAAGTAAAATCAATGTCTCACTTCACGATTTAAACATTAAGAATCGAGCTATGGTGGCTTCTTGATATTCTCTAATATCAGCACGAATCATTAGCATTTCCATCTCTTTGTAATAGTCTTCCATGCCCTTGTAGCATTTTCAAAGGGCTTGAAGATCTTGATGCATATCTCTTTTGCGACAGTTTTCCATAAAGCGACTCCTCATGATTCCCCTCATCTCTCTCCAGCATAGTCAGTGAACTCTATGGCAGTTAGAGTCACTCTCCTTCTTTCCGTTTATTTCATGCCAATCAAATATTATCTCTATCTTTCCTCTCCCAACTAAGGTAAGCATCAGGATCACTTCTTCCTTTAAATGCTGGAATCTAGATCTTGATGCCTTTCATATCATCTCTTGGTCGTTCTTCTTCTTCCTTCTTCTTCTTCTTTCTTCTTCTTCTTCTTCTTTCTTCTTCTTCTTCTTCTTCTTCTTTCTTCTTCTTCTTCTTCTTCTTCTTCTTCTTCTTCTTCTTCTTCTTTCTTCGAAGCCTCTCTTTCTTTTCTCGATGCCGATTATGAACAAAGTTTCTTTGAACATCCCTTCTTCCCACAAACAAGTGATGTTGCTGACGGTTTCTCTCTATACGTTCTTGTACTGCTTGTGCTCGTTCACCTCTAACTCGTTTAGTACGCTCCATTGCATCTCTTTATTGCTCTACCCTCTCTTGCTCTCATCTAGCACATTGAAGACACTCAAATTATCATGTTTATCACTTCCATATTTCATACGTTTTCCCCTTACATCCATGCATCTTTAGTATATTTTCATATATTTCATATTAAAACATAGGTGGCTACTTCGGCGCACTCACTTTTTTGGGTGCACTCAGTGCACCCACTCTAAAAGTGTCCATATTACATCAAATTTTGAACTTTAATTAGTACTCTCAATCTAATATGATGATATGACATAGAATCATAACAAATCAATCAATTACCCTAACCCCTTAACCTTCAATTTTGAATCCCAATCCAAAATCCCAAATTGGTAAACCTAAACCTAACCCTAAATCCCTAAATCCTAAATCCTTCAAATTAAAGTAAATTTTGAATGAATTTTTTTCAAATTCATGTGCTTCTTGTTCATAATATCATAAGCAACAATTGATACCGTTTTGACATGAATCGCATGGTTAGAATGGCAATTATGAGGCGGGTGCACTGAGTGCACCCAAAAAAGTGGGTGCACCGAATACGCCACCTTAAAACATAATTATTTGATCAATGGCCTTTTAATAGACCTAGGTTGTATTTTTGTATTCTTTTATGTCTTTTTGGTATGTTTTTGTGCTTTTCAAGGTAAGTAACAGGAGACTGAACCACCCTGCCACCAGACTGAGAACGAAAAGACTTTGAAGTCTGAACCACCCTTCGACGACCTTTGCTCTGAACCACCGCGCATCTGTCGGCGATATTAGGGCGTGCTCTGTCTCACTCAAGCTCTCAGTCGCGCAGGGGATGCAACAAAGAAGATGAAGTGGTGAAGAAGATGAGATGATTTTTGCTCTATTAAACCCCCTTGCGCTATCAACCACCCCGACGAGCTTATGCCTTCCCCGACGAAACAACAACTCAAATCTCTAGCGAATTAATAACCCCAATCTCTCCCTACCACCCCGAAGCTTGTTATCCGGTAGATCTGTTGCCACCGAAGTGAAGGGAGAGCCGCGAATAACGATGAGTGCCGGTAGCGGCAGATCTGCTGCCGGCAGAGTGAGATGAGAAACAGCAGCGGCAGAGACCGATCGATACAAACAAAGAGGGAGGGAGAACCAAAGATCAAGAAGCGAATTCCTAGAGTGAGGACAAGAGAGAGACTGGGAAACATAAACTTAGCTGGATGAAATCACAAATGAAGAATGGCAAAGGAGGTGGAAAAAGGAGAAGTGTTTACAGTAATGGAGGATTTGTTTTTACCCCAATGGGAAAGAACCCTAAAATCGAAATCGGGGAAAAGTTGGGGAAGATGGGTCATGCGAAGTAGATATGAAGGTAGGAAAAAAAAAGTTACTAATTTATGATGTGTAAATATTAAATAATTGAAATATCTTACGTGTCATTATTTGCTTGTTTGGAACTTACGTGTCGTTGAATTGGCACCTAATCAGCGAATCGTCAAATAAGTTGACGGTGTTAATAACACCGTTAAAGTATCTGAAGAAAATGGCTATATTTTTCCTACAACAACTTTAAAAGCTGTCTATAATCATTATTTTCCAAATTTGGCTATTATTGACACAAACGTGAAATTTTTTTACTATAACAAATCGTTTGGTACAAAATGAATAAAAAATTCATTTCATTGTAAAATGAATTAACGTGTAGAATTCATTGTCAAATGAAATCTTGTGTTTGGCATGTCATATTCAAACTTTTAGAAATAAAATGAATTTTCGTGTAGAATTTATTGTCAAATGAATTCTTGTGTTTGGTATGTCATATATATAAGTAATTTAGTTAATAAAGAGGATAATTATGTCATTCTATTATATTTAGTAAATAGTTGTGGAATTCATTTAGAAATTTCATCTCAATTTCTCGAAATTGTTATAACTAGTATCAATTCCATAGAATTCAAAATTTAGAATTGAAAATGAATTCTTTTAAATACCAAACACAAAAATATTTCATTTCAAAATGAATTTCTCAAAACTTATAACTTTCATTTATAACACACGGTATGTATGTGTATTTTGATAAAATGTTTGGCTTAAAAAATGAATGCGGAATTTTTTTTGCTAATAATTAGTGTAACATCCCGAACCTTTTCCCGACAATATACTGTCCGCTTTGGGCCTCTACACCCGCACGTATTTGCCTTGGGGTTCAATTCTGGGTGACTTCTCATAAGGTCACCCATCCTTGTGAGAACTCCTTCATTTCACCTCAAAACACGTCTTTTCAATTAAGGTTAATTTCATACTTATGAACCATGGATCTCTATCGTGCTTTTTCGATGTGGAATTCGCCTAAAATAGTGTTTAACTATTTTTTATCGGAATATAACACAAGAATGACGGTTATGTCTTTAACGTCTCTGTCACACGCATCCACTGAGACCCTACCCTGCACACCAAAATAACAACCCAAAAAAAAAATAACAACCCAACCCTCAAAGATAAAAGGGACATTTCCACGTCTCTATCCACACGCACTTTCCAAGCAAGTGCTTCCCACTTTCTCTCCCAAGTCAGTTTCGTCACCAGCAGGCGGCTGCAATCAACACGCTCCTTTAACCTTCCCGGTTCTTCCCCCAACTCTACCTGACGATAGTAACCACGCGCCCCTCTTTATGCACGCGCCTTCTTCCAGCCAAAAGAATGAAATTAAATAAACGCTAAAACGTCACAAGAAAAAGAAAAACTCGATCGAAGAAAGAACCGAACCAACCGAGTCTTGAACATCAATTGACTGAAGAAGAAAGACAGAAATCACCTCTTCTGCCCATCGTTTCTCCGATAACCGATTCTTTGCTTCCGTTTTCTCCTCGCCATGGTCCTCTCCCCGTCTCCGCCGCCGTCAAGGGGTGCGGAACAAGCAGAGCCGCCACCGCCGTTTCAAGACGAACTCCGCCTCCCGATTATACTGGCCGAGCGGGTCCTCGCCGCGGTAGACGAGGCGGATTCCTTCAAGTCGGAGTGCAGCGCCGTCGGGAAGCAGGCCGATTACATCGTCGACAAGCTCCGTTCGCTGGTCCGTTTCGTCAGCAGCCCCGGTCAGGCGGTGTACGAGCGGCCCGTGCGGCGGATTTCCGCCGAGGTCGCGAAGAATCTCGACCGGGCGCTAGCCCTAGTACGGAGGTGCAGGCGGCGGAATATTTTCCACCGCGTGGTGACAATGATCTCCGCCGCAGACTTCCGGAAGGCGCTGGTCCATCTGGAAGCTTCCGCTGGGGACGTGACGTGGCTGTGGAGCATGCTGGAGTCGCACGGAAACGCCATGGCGCTCCCACCCATCGCCAGCAACGACCCGATCGTCGCCTGGGTGTGGGTCGGGATCACTTCGATTTACATGGCTCCCATGGCGGAGAAAATCGAAGCGGCGAATCAATTGGCCTCGTTAGCCAAAGACAACGACAGAAACAAGCAGATTATTGTGGAGGAAGGCGGCGTGCCGCCCTTCTTGAAGCTAATTAAGGAGAAAGATTCCCCCGAGGCCCAAATCGCCGCTGCGGTGGCACTGTTCTATTTGTGCAACGACGGGGACAGAGTCAGAGCGATTTCGGCAGAATCCACAGCCGGAGTCCAGACAATCGTCAAAGTTCTTGCCGATTCTCCTATGAGGGTTCAGATTTGGGTGGCGAGATTGGTGGCCGTGATGGCAGAGAACGATTCCGGCGCTCAGGACTACTTCGCCAGAGAGAACGTAATCCGCCCCTTGGTGACTTTACTATCATTCGAGACATTCTCTGATGACCAATTCGGTGGTCAAATGGGTAAGCAATCAATTCATTCTCTAGTCCAGATGAATAAGGAAATGGAGAAAGTGGGAGAGACAAAGACGAGAAGCAACAATAAGGAGAAAGACAGGGATAGTGTGCAATATCGGCCATTTGCGAGTTCATTTTCAAGCTTCCATTCCGATGGTGGTGGAGGGAGCAAGGGAGGAGGGACTAGGAAAGAGAGGGAGAAGGAGAGTTGGGAGGTGAAGCAGAAGTTGAAGATGAGTTGTGCTGAAGCGCTATGGATGCTGGCGAAAGGGAGCGTGTCGAATAGCAAGCGAATCACCGAGACGAAAGGGCTGCTCTGCTTGGCCAAATTGGTGGAGATTGGAGAACCAGAGTTGCAGTTCAACTGTGTGATGACGATTAAAGAGATCACGTTTGCTGCCGAGTCGAATGCTGATCTCCGTCGCGCTGCTTTCAAGGCAAATTCGCCAGCAGCGAAAGCTGTAGTGGATCAGTTGTTGAGAGTGATCAAAGGATCCAGCAGTCCTAAGCTCCTGGTTGCCGCTCTCCAGTCGATGGGGTCGCTGGCGCGGACTTTCCCAGCGAGGGAGACTCGCGTGATCGGTCCCCTCGTCAACCATTTGAACAACAGGAGCCAGGAAGTGGCGGCGGAGGCTGCAATCGCGCTGGCCAAGTTCACATGCGAGGAGAATTTCCTGTGCGAAGCGCATTCCAAGACGATGATCGAGTTCAATGCCATTCCTGCCCTGATGAAGCTGCTGAGAGGGAGCGAGAGGGCGCAGCTCAGAGCGCTGATCTTGCTGTGCTACCTGGCGGTGAATGCCGGGAATCACGAGGCGCTGGAGCCCGCTCGTGTGCTGACGGCGCTGGAAGGAGTGGATAGAATGGTGCTGGCTCAGTACCCTGAGTTGAGAGAGTTGGTTGCCAAAGCTGTTTACCATATCAATCTCTACCACCGTGGACCGCATTCTCAACGGCTGACCTTCGTGATATAGCAAGAGTCTTGAATTAGTTTTCTTCCGACTACTGAGGTTAGATCGCAGTAAAAAAAAAAAATGTTACAGGTTTGTTAGTTGATGTTCATATTTAGTTAGATGATTACAGTGGGTTTTTGAAGTTTGATTTTAGGAACATAATACAGAATGATAATGGAGGGGTAGGGAGAAAAGAGTTGGTCCATTATATACGTATTCAATTGTAGAGTTTGGTTCGTTGGGACCATTTGGTTGGTGGCTCAACGAAAGTCGTCCCCAACATTCATCAAATTTGTCTGTTTATCTAATTTCTGAAAGGTTCAACACGACACATGGCTACAAATAATACGCCGCAAATTGCAGAGCTGCGGGGGCCCTTGAAAACGGCCGTCTTTGCAACAAGAGCCATTACATTACCAAAGAAACGATAACAATTTGGGAATGTGACTGTTAGTACAGCCATTCTAAAGGCCAAATGCAGTCGATGAGCAATCACAGCTTGTTGATGTTATTCAATAGTTTTCCCGAGAATTCTTCACGGTTAAATTTGAACGCAATAGCTGTTGAAATGTGCGAAAGGATGATCAAACAGCGTCAGCAAGTGTTGATCAAACAGCGTCACTGTTAGGGAACACAGAGGTTGTTCATATATTTAATTTCGCCCCCTACTAAATTATGGGGAAAAGAGAAGCTTTCTACTCTATTGAGTAACGAAACATGCATGATTCTGTTGTTATGTACAAGGGGAAGGTAAACTACAACTCGGGGACATATTCATGGCTATTGTATAACATATAATATAGACGTATCTAATGTTATTATGAGACAAGAAAAAAGAAGAAAGACAGCAAAGCTGAAGATTACTCTGGACTGTCATCATCACATACACACAAAACCAGTGGGACGAGACAATAACATAAAAAAGGCGCCAGCTCAAAACCTGATTGATAGACAGAAGGAAGAGCGTATCCAATGCGTATTATCATCAGGCCACCAGAGAGATGAATCAATCAAAGGGCTGAGAGAGGATTGAGCGGGATATTGTCTTGTCGACTCGTCGGCATTTTGGCCACAGATTCTGTACAATAATAATTTGATTGCTCTCGACTGGACTGGAAGAGGAGCAAAATGGCGGATGATGATGAGCTGGCTTTCTGCTAGACGGCCAACTGAAAATCAAGCTCACTTCCCAATCAGGGCGGATGCCTCTTCACCCTACACGTTCCAGAACCACCTGTAAGGCCAAACATTTATTTGATCAGACAAGTGGCGGAATTTGACAATATTTTGAGATCCCCCCATGGCCCATGGGTAGTTACATAAGTTTGGCTACCCAAAATAAATCCCCAATTGAGTTGATTTTCTTGATTCTCGTTTCTCATTAACTTCTAAGTGCTACAATATGATGCACTTTTTTATCTTATCCGGACTAGTCTGAAAATGTATGTATTCTGCTGCAGATTTTCAGAATTCATACTCATTTTGTATTGCATCGTTTTTCTAGTTCATTTTATCATGAAAACATGTAATTCGCACATCATGTAATATTAGAAAACATGGTATCATGTTATAACAATCAAGAATGTATTAGAACCCTCGCAAAGCAAACACCTTATTACAATATTACATAAATTCTTACATCCAGCCAACAAGAGACTCGGGTTCTAAAAATTCATGTATCTCAAAGTAAATACTTGCCGAACAACAACCCCTCAAGAGAGGAGAAATTGTAACAACCTCTAAGCACAAGGCACATTACAAGCAAAACCCGTCAAAAGAGATCACTTGCAAATAATAGAAATTTTTGGAATCACACAAACACACCTGCTTTCTAGGGACTCTTTATTCCAGGACTTTCCATTTTAGCGAGAATTCCAATTCAACCAAACATATGTTCATATGGAATATTATTTATTATCTATTACTCCACAAAATTCTTCCCATTATTTCACCAAAAACCTTGTGCTCTAAACAAACCCACAATCTGAAATCTGAATACTGCCTAAAAAAATATTATAAGTCCAGTTATCCTGACTTAAAAGGAAAAAGACTGGAAACAAAAGCGGGGGAAAAAACATGATTTGGAAGGGGAGATTGATTAATACGGACCATGGATGATGATGAATGGCCGAGCCTGCAATCCCAACTAACTCAACTCAATGCGATGAAGAAGAGATTGAACGCCAACTGTCCGCAAGAACCATGGCCCTTTCGCGTGAGCTAACGGGCAGTTGTTGGACGATCACATTCTTGACATGTGCTGCTGCCGTTTCACCTGCTCGAGTTGCCAGTTCCAGATAAACCACGGCTTTCACCATATCTCCTTCCTGCCACTCAAAACAAACACCACGTGTTTTTCTTCCAAATCAGCACAAAGATACAAAGCTTAAATTCCAATACACACCAATTATTACGAGAAGGGAGGGGGCAAAAAAAAAAACGTACGGAGAAGAGGCCTAGTCCATGCTCATACTGAGCTTTGCTGTGGCCATGATCAGCTGCTCGCTTCATCCATTTCCTTGCCTGTTGATGATTGTGGGATAAACCATCTCCTACCGAGTAACACAGCGCAACATTGTACATTGCTCGAATATACCCACCTCTCGCAGCTCTTAGATACCACTTAGCCTGCACAAAAATGGAAACTTGCATTCATATGTTTACTAAAAAGACGAAAGCAACTTAATTCATTATGAGAAAGCAACAATCAATAACCCTTACCGCCTCCTGAAGACTGCCTTCGACCCCACGACCCTGATGCAGACACAGACCGAGTTGATACTGAGCACGAACATGCCCTCCAATTGAAGCTCGAAACAACCATTTCACGGCTTCTGTTTCGTTTGGCGGCTTAGCTGCGCAAAAACCCCATTCAGTAATTATCACAAACAGTTGGCGGGCAGATAGTCAACACACAATGAAACCTTTCAGAAAAACAACCAAATTGGGAGATAATTCGAATTTAATTGTTACCCTGTAAGTAATAGATCCCGAGATTACACTGCCCCGCAGGATCGCCGAACTCCGCCGCCTTCCGATACAACCCCACCGCCTTCTCCTTCTCCCCAATTTCCCAATACACCAGTCCGGCATCAACCATCGCCAAGCTCGACCCTCGAGCTGCCCCCTTCAGGAAGGAATCCAGCGCTTTGTTCAAATCCGATTTCACCCCTCCTCGCCCGTGCTTGAACCGCTTCCCCCACCTTAACAGCAGCATCGCCTCCCTCAACGGCTGCAGCGCTTCGCTCCACGACTTGCACACCAGCGACGCAGCCTGGAGGTTGGGTAGCGTGAACGGCGCCGCGATTCTGGTGAGGATGTCGAATGGGAGCGCTGCGAATCCATGATCCTCCACCTTCGAAGTGGACGACGACGGCGACGACCTCAGCTCGATCCGCCTCGGCCGTTGACTGTGTCCGGACGGCCCCGCGGCGGATTTACGACGCTCGAGTCTGGTTTCTGGCATCGGAAATGAGCGGAAACGGTGACCGTCCGATCTCGGTGGCCAGGTTCCCTGCTGCTTCATCTGAGAAGGTTCCGCTCGGTGGGGGAGAGTGACCAGCTGCTGCGATGGGTGAAGGAATATAGTACTGGCAGTCGGTTGGATTTCGCGGCAGAAAAAGGGGGAAATCGTAGCGTTGTAAGCGAACAATCGAATGAATTTAGGAACGTCGATTCCAATTTAACGGATCAGATTCTGCCACGCCATAGGATGGATCCAGGGGAAAAAGCGTGTGGGCACTGCACCTGAAATTCTGCTTCCGAGCTCCGACTCACGTTTTTTTTTTTTTTTTGTCTCTTCTTTATTTTCTTGTAACTCCAAATTAGTTTAGGTAAGAAATAGGAACGTTCTCGACCGGTTGGTTGGTTTGCTTTTCTTTTATTCGAACTTTACTCTAGAAGATTAAGACTTTGCTACAGTAACTTGCAAATTGACCTGATTTTGATAAAATAGGTCTATCGGTAAATATATGTGGTCGATTGAATATACTATTCATGATTTATACGACTGATCACTAAAAAAAGAAGACGTAGTACTCAGAATGTCGAATATGAAGAAACAAACATGGACAATGAAGATGACATACATATTGGGAACAATTAGGAAACTAGTGATGATGAAGAGACTAATGAAGAAATGATGCGACAAATGTAGAGCTCAAAGATGAACCAATGGCGTAGGCAGAAGATTCAACTCCACCATTCACCATCAATGCTATATATGATCGCATGACTGACATGATTGATTATATGAGACATATATCCAACCAGATTAATATGCTTCATGTGACTGTAACTGAGATGCGAGAAGAATTTGGATAATTTAGTGGAAGTACATGTATCCAAACACATCCGAGCACCATAATTTTAGTAGCACCAATGGGGATAATCAAGACGAGTGAGAAGAGAGATCAAGGAACTCTTTGAATTGCATTATGCTTTTTATTTATTTTGATTTGATCTATTAAGTTTGTAAGACGATTTGGTTTAAAGCAACTATGATTGTGGATTAAGATTAAGTCGTTGTAGTTTTGGATTGGAGATATGTGTAAACTACTATGAGGTGTGTTTATTGTGTATTGGTGTTAATGGTTAAAATTTTAGGAAGATATGATTTCTTGCTACTATGATTGTCGATTGAATTTCAGATTTTCTATGGTAGTTTGTTAGATTTCAGAAGGTGCATGACATTCTAGGTTCTATGAGTTCGACTGGACTATTATAGAGGTCGATCGGAATAGGCAACAAATCGAGGTTGTTGTTCTTGTAAAAGGTCAACCATAAAATCAATCATTTTAATATACCAAGAGGTGGTTTGTTAAATTTGAGGGTCGAGCGTAGTTACTACAACAAACTCTTCCAACAATGGAGGCTTTGATTATGGAAAAAGGTCCCGATGTTATCTCGATGTTTGGTTTGCGGGGGCAAGGGGGGAGAGGTTGGAAGAAACGATAGAAAATTTATTTATTTCTTGCCCAGTGGAGAAGGCCTTGTGGGGGATATCGAGGTTGATGGGGGATTTAGAAGCCTTATAGGGAGTTGCATTTGCTATTTTCTTCTGTCGATTCTTGGAACGAGATTCTTCTCCATCTAGGGTTGTTTGATTCCTATGCCTTCTCTAGCAAATCTGGACTTCTAGGAATTTGGTTGCCTTTGATTGTCAATAGGGTTGTTCAGTGTGTTGGAAAGGCAGTTGAAGTTTCAAGTGAAGGAGTGGATGGGTCTTCCCACCACTAGTGGGGGTCAGTGCTTAGCGTTCCGATTGCATGTGCGAGGCAGTACAGGGGAGTCGAAGGCTTCGCTGGGGGTAGGGAGTTCGTTTGATGGGGCTGTGTGCCATGAGTCCCATGGATTGGTGGGATTCGTTCTTCGGATGTCGTAGGAGGGGTTCTTATGGCAAAAGGATCAATTGATGGTAGTTTGCTTGACCCAATGCTGATGGAGTTGATGGCGTTGTGTGATGCAATTTGGTGATGTGCTGGGGTAGGGCTTCAAAGTTTTTAGTTCATCGAGGATGCCAAGGTGGTGGTTGACAAAGTAAATGCACGTATCACCAGGGATGCGCGGGGCGTTGCAATTTTGGTCAAAGTTTGCCAGCTTCTCGACGTGTTCCAGGATTTAGCGTTAAGTTTGTAGGTAGATAGAGCAATGAGATGACCCATTTGGTGGCCAAAAATGAAATAGATTTGTTTCTTACAAGGGGGTTATGGTTTTGATTTTCGAACGTGGCTGAGCTCGGAAGTCGGGTTGGTGTAACTTCATTAAGTCCTAGTAATACAAGTGATATTTTTCACAAAAAAAATAAAAGATGTCCCTTACACTCCTTTTTCTATGCAAGAGAACATTTCAAAGAAGATAAAATAGACAAATAAAGAGAAAATTTTCAACTATATAATTCTAACTAAGATAAAATTGAAACAATAAAGAGAACAATTTCAACCAATATTTTTTACATCAAAGGAAACAATATATCATATATATGTACTCTATGTACATAAAATAAAAATCATGATGCATTCTAAAAAGGCAAAATACAGCTGTATATCCACAATTATCAGGTTTGTGACAAATATATCCACAACTAACAAAATACACGAAATATCCAAAAATCGGAAGGTTGTGTGACAAATCTATCCACTTCCGTCTGAAACTATAACGGCGTGTTAGACGACATTAGCCAAAATGCAACCATACTTTACACGTAGATGCCAAATAGGCTAGTTGAATAAAAACGAAAATGAAAAAACCATTTCCCTTATTTAACCCCGTCGGGCTCTTCACCATTCCCCCAAACTAAAAAAATTAGGGTTCATCTTTGTTTTGAAATCAAAATCGGACCTCGCTGCTTGGGCACTCATGCAGGTAGTGACCCATTACGCAGACCTGTATGTTCTTGTAGAAGTGAGATGTGGGTTTGGGCAAATCCATATTTTTGTTTATGTTCTCTGTGAGCAACCTCTGCATATTCCAAGAACCGGTGACCATCTCTAGCTCGGCTCCCAACTCCTCCTCGTCGCCTCTTCCCTGACGGTCGCCGCCAAAATCACCTCCCCTTTTATCCCCAAATCGGCTCCGTACCTAGATCCCCTGTCGCCAGGTTCAGGGCTGGAGCTCCCCGCCGCGGCGGGGATCCAGCGGCAAATCGGCAACAAATTCGAAGAGCAGAGTGAACGACTTCATATCCAGCGTCGTTGCTCTCGCAAAAGATTGGGACTGTTGTTCCCCGCTCTAGTGACGTGGTCGAAGTGAAATCCGGGCGCGAAGGCGTCATTGAGTTTGGGATTCAACTACCTCCACTGTTATCTGTTAGACCTCGCTGCTGCAGTCTTCTCTCTTGGCGACTTGGTCAGATTCAAACTTTTTTTGTTTGAGATTCAAGCTTGGTATCACCATGCCGCCGACTGCATGGAAGTCGCCGGAGTAAAAGGGAGGCGATGATTGGGGATTGTGGTTGGAATCAAAATCTAGGCTTGGGGTAGGGTTATTTGGGGGTGGAGGCATCGATCGGAGGAGGATCGGTGGTTATCGGGCGTGTTTCTTTCTGGGTTGGACTTTTAGTCTCGCCGTCCGTCGTGGTCGGAAAACAGAGAGATTAAGGAAAGGGGAGAAGACGGATCGAAGTTGAGAAATGGAAGGCCAATACTCGTTTTGTGGTTTTTAGAATTTTTTTAATTTTTTTCTCTTTTAATCCACGTCATTCAGTGGGGTTAGAAACACGCCAATTAAGCATCCACCGTCTATCCAGTCATCAAGTTAACTGACGGAGTTAATGGAGTGGACGAAAATGGATATTTTGATATCCCTCTATGATATATAGCCGTTCTTCAAGAGATTTTGAGCATTTCAAATTCATTGCACTCTCCTTAATTGTAGCTAGGGGTAAATTTGTAAGTTCAACTTAGAACTTAAATATCTTCTTACGAGGAAAAAAAATGTCATTACCAAGACTTGAACTCAAGTCCTTCAGATTTATAGTCAATATCCCTAACCAACTAGACTACAACACTGTTTATGTATTTTCTGCATTAAAGAGAGAAAATACTAAATATCTCAAAATCATAGGACTATCCACCGCAACAATCAATCATAGAATTAATTAATAACTGTAATTATTTACAAAGTGAATCATCATGATATACCTAGCTTTATGAATCAACTAAGTGAGTTCCTCTAATCACACAATTCTTCACCAAGAATCAAATAGTACATTTTGAGTTTATGTATGTCTTACAACTTTTACATTTATTAGGTTACATGACTTTATAGTTTGTAGGAATACAAGGATTGTTTACAAAAGTGTTATACAAAATTTTATTTCAAAACATAAAATTTGACATTTGTGATCTATGGTTTTGTAACGAGACATTTTCAATGCTATAAGTGAATGACCAAAAATCATTGGCTAAAAATTTCCCTAATGGTTGAGAATTATGAGCATAGAATTGAAAGACTAAATACCATTGAATTATAATATTGACTATCAATCTGCAACCAAAAATTTGCAGATATAGAATTCGTAAATTATCATAAATTTCCCTAATGGACGATAACCATAAATTTGCAACCACAAATATTGTTGTTTCGAATATTTCATATCGAATTATAATATTGAATATGTAGAAGCGATATAGAATTCTTAAATTATCATTAAGTTTCAAAACTATAGTGAAACAATCATTTCTTTGTGCAAACTATAGGAGACTGGTTCTCTGAACATTTTTGTCTGGTTAAATACTAAGTTTGAAACTCTTCCTAGGGTGTGTGTGAGTCAGTTCGTTTGGGTTTAGATATTTTAATCACCTAACTCATATACCACGATTTTGAAAACACTAAATACAAACTCACCCAAATAATTTAGAATTTTAACAGTTTGTGTCCTCCATACCAAATGACCAATTTACATGTCGCTTTAACTAAGAACGATCTCATTGTCCAATCCCATCATTCTAATGTCAATCCATAAAAGTAACCCATATTCGCGTTTGTTAACACGTGTTTCACATTGTCATTACTGTGACTGGTAACTTCGCTGTAATTGATTCGGTATTGCTGATCATATGGCCTCCAGACTGATAAACATATAAGGCCAGCAGTTTTATTACAAAACTCAAAGTGAAGACAACTCATTGTCTGGTGGAATTTTGGCGCTTGCTGGTGTCCATTAATCTAATTGCAAGCAT